GGGTGCAATTTGATTGAAAAGGGGAACAATTCGAAAATGGACTCGTCCAGAGTTTGAGTTACACAGAGGGCATTATAATTTTTTATAAAGGCTTAGATCAGCGGTCTTCAACCTGTGGGTCGAACGCCCCTTTCACAAGGGTCGCCAAAGGCCATCGGAAAAGACATTCACTGAAGTTAAGAAGCAGCACATATATGGCCCATATGGCACATACCATATGGTCCTCATGGGACCTTCAGTTTAACACTCCTACCTTTCAGAACATTGCAGAACTAATCCCAACATTCAACCCCCTCCCCCATGTCGATCTCACTAGGCAATACCCACATTTAGTAGTTAGCCACTGCTCCTTAAACGGTCTGCTCTCGATACTACTGTCGAAATCAACACAATGCGGTCTGCTGCCAAACTGCCTGCAGCTGGAATCGAACCGGGTGCCACGAAGATACTAAGCGTGTGTTTGCAATGCCCAAGCCAGGGAGGCTGACTCGCGTTTGCAAGCAACAAACCATTCTTACGCTAGTGGCGCTTCAGAAAATGAAGCTAGACCCACTTAGTACCTGTTTAAAGTCATATGTTTGAATTCACATATCAATGTGAATTCTTGTACATATCAAAGTGAATTCTTGTACATATCAAAGTGAATTCCTGTACATATCAATGTGAATTCCTGTACATATCAATGTGAATTCCTGTACATATCAATGTGAATCCCTGTACATATCAATGTGAATTCCTGTACATATCAATGTGAATTCCTGTACATATCAATGTGAATTCCTGTACATATCAATGTAAATCCCTGTACATATCAATGTGAATTCCTGTACATATCAATGTGAATTCCTGTACATACCAATGTGAATCCCTGTACATATCAATGTGAATTCCTGTACATATCAATGTGAACTCCTGCACATATCAATGTGAATTCCTGTACATATCAATGTGAATTCCTGTACATATTAATGTGAATTCATGTACATATCAATGTGAATTTCTGTACATATCAATGTGAATTCCTGTACACATCAATGTGAATTCCAGCATGTGCCTTTAGATTTCCTAAATTTTTATGATTTTATAATTTACCATTGCACAGGTGCTGCTGTTTTCTTAAAGCGGTGAGTTTGTTGGATCTTTGTGTGTCCCTTTTAAAAAAAAATATATGGTAAATGACACACGATTGGTGATTTTTGGCGATCAGTTCACATATGCAACGATGCGTGGTGATTATTTTGATAGCCTATCTCGTTTTGAAAAGTTCCCGTTTCCCAATTGACTGTAAGAAAGATGTTTATTTGCACTTGCACGCACGCACGCACACACAAACACACACACAATAAGACAAAATGAAAACTAGATGTTAGTAAACATAAAAAACAACTCCTACCAGAACATGATTATTAAATGCTAGGTTTAAACAATTTTCCCCGAATGATTAATAAGTTACATATTTTTTAAGTAGGGCACCACTTCTATGATGGACTATAGCCACTACACAACTATGGCTTCCTCTGCTCTCATGGAGTAGCCAAAAATATCGTGGCTTCTCGATCTTCTATGTCTACTGGAAGACTCCTTTGTGTTTCTGACTGTCAAAAAACATGAACACTACTCATGGCAGAGATCTGTAGTGGGGAAAAAAAAAAAAGAGGAGATTTGGACCGTCCGTACGTAACTCCGTAGCTACAACCACGTTCCTCCATTTACCCCAGAGTGTTAACTCTGGTACCCATTGCCTAGAGGCGGGGTGAACCCCGGGAACCGCCAGGTTTCCAACACTGGCCGTGGGCTGCAGCGAGTCGCTGCTGGATTTGAAAGCCAGTCTCCTATCGACTGCGCTATCGCGGCCCCCTAATCTCTCAACTTAGGATGTGTAGTGTTCTAACATTCATTCTCCCGTAAACTTCATTCCTGGGCCTTCAAAGGATTTTCTTTGGTGCGGACTAATGCGGGTGCACACGTTCTAACAAGCCATATATTGTTCTACCTCACTTTCAATGACAGGGTGTTACTGCACCAGTTGGTTCTTCGTTTTGAAGAAGTATCGGCGGGAACGGGAAACACGCTCATTTGGGGAAGAATGTAAAAATCTTTGAGTCAGTAATTACAATAATAACTAGAAGCAATCGGCTTAGACTTCTTAAGTAACAGACAGTTACTGCTCTAGTACAGCGGTTCTTAACCTGTGGGTTGAACAACCTTTTCACAATAGTCGCCTAACACGTATTTACTGAAGTAGCAATGAAAATAACTGTATGGTTGGGGGTCGACGCAATATAAGGAACTGCATTAAAAAGCGCGGCATTAGGTAGGTTGAGAACAACTGCTCTAGTACTTTTCTATTCCAGTGTTTTCTGATGAAGGCTTTATAACGGCAAGGTATATTTATCATTACCGAATTTATAAGGGAGGGGGGGGGGGGGGGGGGGGGGGGGGGGTTTGGGGGAATTAATTTTCGTGTTTGGGCAGAATGTTGCTTATTTGTTGTACCCAACAAAAACATCACACAAGGGATAAACCACAGATGACACAAAGTGCCACCATGCGGATGAGGTTCACCCGTGAACAGGATCCAGAAACCCCTTCAGCAGTTATGGCCACAGATATGGCCCAGCTATATTCAGAGCTCCCAGCAAAAGCCAGGGTGGGGCTTCAAATAACGATCAATTACATCACGCAAGTAGCCGACAATAATACGGCAGAATGTTTTCATGGTATCCGTAAGGATATTCCCTTCAGGTTTACCACATTCATCATCATCATCAGTTCTCGTTATGCCTAGTGGCACATGAGGCTTCAGAGAGGACTTTCCATGTTTTCCTGTCCTGTGCAATCTTCAATGCAGTTTTCCATGTCAAAGATGCCGCACTCAGGTCATTTTCCATCGTTCGTCTCCATGTTGTTTTTGGGCGCCCCTGTTTTCTCTTTCCCTCTGGTGTCCATGTGAGAGCTGTTTTGGCAGGTATATCAGAAGTCATTCTCATAACGTGGCCAAGCCATTTCCATCTTCTCTTGGTAATCATACTGTCTAAAGTTTCTTGGTTTGTGGTTTGAAGTAGTTTAGTGTTTGAGATTGTATCTGGCCAGAAAATTTTGATAATTCTACGTAGACATGTGTGGTGGAAGGTGGACAGCTTGTGTGCATCCTTTTGGATCATTCTCCAGCATTCCACTCCATAGAGAAGAACTGGCAAAATGATGCTCTTGTAGAGTCGGAGTTTCGTTCCTCTGCAGTAATTGTTGGATTTCCAGATTTGCCTCATCCTTCCAAAAGCAGCTCTAGCTTTGTTCAGACGTGACTGTATGTCTTCATCTGTCCCTGCCAGTAGGGACACCACACTGCCAAGATACGTGAAATGTTCTACATTTTCAAGTGATTGGTTACTTATGGTCACTGGTTGTTGGTTTGGACTGTTTGTCATGATCTTAGTTTTCTTTGTATTTATTCTCAGTCCCACCATTTCTGCTGTGCAGTTTAGTCTGTTACTTTTCTCTTGTATAAATTCATGTTTATGTGATAGGAGTGCTATATCATCTGCAAAATCAAGGTCCTCGAGCATGGTGAATGGAGTCCATCGTATGCCTCCTAATGTCCTGTCTACTGTGTTCTTTAGTATCCAATCAATCACAAGGTTGAAGAGGAGAGATGACATAACACATCCCTGTCTTACACCCGTCTTTACTGGGAAAGATGTATTGTAATTTTTTATACTGCAGGAAAATTCTTTATAGAAGAGAGCAATTATGTTGACTATTTTTTCTGGAATTCCATAATGTCGTAAAATTTTCCACAGACCGTCTCTATGGACGCTGTCAAAAAGCTTTCTCAGAGTCCACAAAATTAATATATATACTTCTCTGCCATTCGCTGCATTGTTCTAAAATGTTCCGTATGCCGAAGATGTGCTCAGTTGTTCCTCTGCCCTTTCTGAATCCTGCTTGTTCCACTCGTAGGCATTTATCTACTCCTTTTTCAAGCCGCATTATGATGATTTTACAAAATATTTTGCTTGGTACTGAGAGTAGAGTAATTCCCCTCCAATTATTGCAGTCTGTTAAGTCTCCTTTTTTTGGGGATTTTGACTATTGTTCCTTCAGTCCAGTCATCAGGCAACACTTCTTTTTCCCAAATATCCTTGAACAATGGTTCTAGAATGCTAGCAGTTGTGTTGGGATCTACTTTGAGAAGTTCTGCTGACAATTCGTCTTTGCCTGGTGCTTTGTTGTTCTTTAAAGTGTGGATAGCTTTAAGGATTTCTTGTTTGCTTGGTGGTTCAGTAATAATGTCAATGTCCTGAGAGGCTGGTTGAATTTCTGGGGTATTTTCAGGATCAGGTCTGTTCAAGAGTTCGGAGAAGTGTTTAGTCCACTGCATGTCTTGTTTTTGTTTCTGTGGTGAGCAGTCTGCCTTGGTTATCTCTGATGGGTATGCTGTGATAGTTGTTTCTGTTCCTCAAATTTGCTGGGTAATTTTGTGTAGGGTTTGTAGATCATGTGCTTTAGCAGCATTTTATGCAAGATTTTCCATAAATCTTCTCTTGTCAGCTCTGGCACTTTTCTTGGTCATTTTATTTAGCTCGCTATATTCTAACATTAGTTTGTCTTTCTGACGTTCTGATTTAGTGTGATTTATGAGGCTCTTTATTCTTTTTCGCTTGGCAATATAGTCCATGGTTTGACTACTTATCCATTCTTTGTGGTGTTGTTTCCTGGTTCCTAATATTTTATTGCTAGTTGATTTGTATGTTTCTTTGATCTGGTTCCATCTGTCTTGAATGCTGATTGTAGTTGGAGTTTCTGTGTCACTTGATAGGGTTTGAAATCTATTCTTGAGTTCTACCATAAATTTAGTGGCAATGTCTTTTTCTCTTAAAAGGTTAACATTGTAACGTGATGTCTGTGTCTTAACTTGCGTGTAAACTTTTTTTGAGTTTAAGTCTTAGTAGAGCGACTACAAGGTGATGATCGCTTCCCACATCTGCTCCCCTTTTGACACGCACATCGAGTAGGGACCCACGCCATTTTCTGTTTACCATGAAATGGTCGATCTGGTTTACATCTCTTCTGTTTGGGGATATCCATGTAAGCTTGTGTATGTTCTTGTGAGGAAATAGTGTTCCTCCTATAACAAGTCTATTCGCCGTGCAGAAGTCGCTCAATCTTTCCCCTTTGTCATTAATTGTACCACATCCTTGATTTTCCATTGATAGTTCTCTATTCAAGTTGTTGTTACCAACTTTTGCAATGAGATCTCCCATAATGCATAGAATATCATGGGCTGGTACTTTATCTACTACCTCTTGCAGTCTCCTATAGAATGTTTCTTTATCTTCATCTTCAGCTTCATTAGTCGGTGCGTAGCATTGGATGACTGTAAGTTTGGCATGTTTGCCATTAAATCGTGCTGTCATTATTCTTTCATTGATTGGATGCCACTCGATGAGATGTTTGTGTATACCTTTCTTTAAAATAAGTGCCACGCCTGCAGAATGTAGGTTATCATCTCTTCCAGAGTATATTATGGTTTCTCCTGTACCTGTTGTGGATTGTCCAAACCCTGTCCACCTGCTTTCACTAATTCCAAGAATATGCAGTTTATAGTTCTGCATTTCTTTAATTACTTGGGCGATTTTGGCTGTTTCAAACATGGTTCTTACATTCCAGAAGCCAATTCTTAATTTGGTTTTGATATCCAGCAGACTTGTTTTCCCATCATGGGCTTCCTTTCGGCTTTCACCCATGTTGTTCATGCTGAGAGAGGGACTCTGTCCCAAGACCACCGGACGTTTAGAGCACTTATTTCCTCTTGAAGTTTCAGTAACGTTGTAGATTTTTTACAGGGCAGAGCTGTCAACACTGCGCCCAACCCCCGAGCCTGGAGGACCGGGAGGCCATCTTTAGTCTCTACCACAGTGGAATCAGAAAACAACGCAGCTACAGGCAAAGGTTCGACGAAGATGCCACCCTTCAAGTCGATACACACAGACACACACACACACACACATATATATATATATAAAGTATCCAGAAACCATGAGTTGTAAACCCTTTGGCTCGGTACTATGGATATCGCAACCCGTTCGGCCTTGATTCCATGATAGATACCGTAAATCTGGGAGAAATATGATTTTTCTGCCTACCCCGGGGCGTGAACCTAAACCACAAGGAGTTCGTCACCCGGTCGCAGCGCAGAAGGTTTTAACCAACTGAGCTTACAGCCGGGCATACATATATATTAATTGCATAAATTCTGGGGGAAGGGGGGGGGAGTACGTCTAATCATAGTTAGAAGGAGCACTTTCCCTCACTTTATATTTAATAGCTAGAGAGAGTTCAGTCCCCTCGTCATTCCTCTTGAAATGACTGGCAAAAAAGAAGAGGCTTGGTGGAACTGAGGGCCTCCCGCGCTAAATTGTTTAGGGTCTAAAAGTGCCTCAGCCATCAAGTTTCATGTGCCCTTGGACTCACTGTGACAACCGGTAAACTTATCCTTAACGGACAAAGCTGAATTCTTACAACAGCACGATGTGTCGTCTATGGTCGAGGCGGTCAGGAAAGCAAGAAGCAGAATCTGTTATCGTTCTCGAACCCGCAGCGGCAAAAGAGGAAGAAGAGGAGGAGGAGGAGAAGATGAAGGAGGAGGAGGAGATGAGGAGGAGGAGGAGATGGTGCTGAAAGAGGACGAAAGGAGGGCGAGGATGAGAAGAAGAAGAAAAAAAGGGGAGGAGGAGAATAAAAAGGTTAAGAAGGTACGTAGATAGGTGCTTTGCACATTCAATCGGCATCCCAGAAGGAGAAGTTTTACGTTATAACTGTGACTAGGTTAAGGACGCCATTTAAAAATTGGCCTAGCATGCATGCCAAGAGCCCTGGAAAGGACTCCTGCAGTGTTGATGCGATCAAATGAGGCAGACCCAAATATTGTCCCGACAGGCGACCAAGTCGTCTACTGGCGAGCCAAATGACGACCTTGTCGTCGATTTTCTTTTTTTTTCTCTTCCACCTCGTACTTCTGTGAAGTGCCGGGGGGAGGGATGTAACATCTTTGATGAGCTCTGTCAAGAGCACTGTTAAGACTGATGTTCATTTCTGTAAGGTTGTTCCTAATGTCATCACTCCATCTTTTTCGAGGTCTTCCACTCGCTCTCCTGTTTTAACTTTCTGCTGGCCTCTATTTTCTCTATTTCTAAAACATCTCCTATTCTCATCTTGGGCATTTCTTTTTGAACCGCTGAATCCTCCGCCGACGTGCCGGGCCTGTCGCGAATTCTTCTTCAACTAAACCACTTACACTAATCTAACAAATGTAACATTCTTTCCAGGAAAGAACACATCTGTTTGTCACAATTTTCGGCGACCTGTCGTCGATGAAGACGAAAAAGAAGACTGCAATCTGGCGAGGAACAGAACAGCCAAGACAAACAAGCCCCACGCAAAAATATAACAAAGTTTAGATAATTACAGGGAAAGGACTAGAGACTTCGGTTGTGAAATGTCAACAACTTTCAATATGCCACTGGGTCACGGTGGTGTGAAGTGTCGTAACTGGTTGTCCTTCAAGGATTTCTCAATTCTCTTTTTCCACCTAAGCATGGGTATTAAATCTCCCTCCCGCCCAACCAAAGCCCGTGAATCGTATATCTTTTTACGAAAACAGCAAACTTAAAACTGCAATATTTGTACCATTGCTGTCCACTAGCCAGATTTTGTGGAGAGCTTATGTTAAAGGTCAATAGCACTGCTGGCTAGTTTTCATTATTCTACCTATAATTTCTTCCTCGTTCTCCCGCTTATCTTCATGTGCGTGTGTGTATATGTATGAGTGTGTTTATGTATGAGTGTGTTTATGTATGAGTGTGTGTATCTACGTATGAGTGTGGGTGTCTATGTGCATCAGGGCTGGATTTAGACTATAGGGCCCTAAACTACACAAAGCCCCGAGGCCCCTATCGTTTTAAATTACGCTTGTTAATCTGAGTTAACGTTAAAATGTATAAGTTCATAAAAAAATACGCAACTAATTTAACAACAAACAAGAGTAAATATATCATCATCATCATCAGGTGCCTTGCCTCTCCATAATCCACGATCTCCTGCAGCATTATCAGTTCGTGTGCCGACACACCTCCATGCCATGCAACAAGACTG